TGCTGTCTTAACGTGGACCCCTCCTGCATGCCCACAGTGAACCCATACCAGCCATGTTCATTCCTTTAGTATACTACTAGAGAGGACTTGCTAATGCTTGTCCTAGAGTTTGGGCACTTCTATGGGCTATACTTTTCTGGTTTTTGTTTGCTTTTTTAAATTTTTATTGAATCAAAATTGATTATCCATATTTTGGGGTTCAACGTTGAGATATGTTAATCAAATCAATATTACTAGCATATATATTATTACAAATCATACTTATTCTTCATGCCCCTTGTCCAATCTCACCCCATCCCTCTCCCTTTCCCCCTTCTCCCCTCTAATTATCCTAGATTTCTTCTCTCCTTCTGAAAGAATAATGGTTACTCTGTTGATCTGTTGCCTAGATGATCTGTCCAGTGCTGCGAGGTGTGATCAGTTCCCCCAGTATTATCGTAGAGCAGATGCTTCTTCTGTCAATCAGGAATGGGCTTTGTGGAGAGAGACATCCTCTTCTTTTCTTTATCTCTGCTGGTGACTCTCCTTGTGTCAATGCACTCCAGTGGCTGGCAGATCATCTGTGTGGTGGTTGTGGCATCCAGCCATTTTCATAGCAGCCATAGTTACTGTGGTGGACCACCCACATGGAGGTGAGTTTTTGGTATGCTCCTTGGTGCTGGCAGTGTGCCTCGTTGTGGGAGGGAGTCTGGTCTCTGGCTCCATGCCTTGGGTCCCCAGGAGGGCCCTGAGGTGCTGGTGCAGTGTGCCTGGTTGTGGGAGGAGGATCCAGTCCCTGGCTCCATCCCTTGGGTCCCCGGGTGGGCCCAGAGTTGCTGGCGTGGTGTGCCTGGTTGAGGGGAGGGGTCTCTGGTCCCCAGCTCGATGCCTCTGGTCTCCTCATGGCCCCTGAGGTGCTGGTGGTGTGCCTAATTGTGAGAGGGGGCTCTGGTCCCTTGCTCCACGTCTCACATCCCTGGGTGGACCCAAGGCACTTGGCAGTGTGTCTGAGCTGGAACTAATTTTTCTATCCTTTGCTTACTTCTAAAGTGGGGGAACTTCCTGTTGGGACCAGTACTTGAGCTGTGTGGTTTAGCTAAATTGCTGCTTTGCTGCTGCTTTCCTAGGGAAGGCTTTTTGTGCAGCACAGGTCATAATGGTTGACTTTATAGGTACTTCCGGCTCTCCAGAGACTTGGTGCACCTGGGTTGTGTAGTAACTCTGATCTGGGCCAGAGTCTTTTCATCAAACTGCACATCATGCAATACTATATTCGTGACCAGTCTCCTCTGAGTGGTCCTATGCTGACTGGGGTGTAGATCAGCTGTCCTTGCTGTGCCCCAGTGTTCCCCTGGTGAGCCCGTCTCTCTCACTACCCATGCTGCAAACACTTTCCATGGGACGGGCCATGCACCAGTCCCTTGCAATGACTCTCCAGCCTCTGAGTGGTTCCATTTTTTCAGTTGTTGTGGTTCCTCGCTCCTGTGTGGGCCCATGGGAACCCTATTAGTGGTCTTGCTGGCCTGGGGGCCACCAAGGCCCTCTTCTCTCCTGCCACCTCCAAGCAACTTCATCTGAAGGGCACAGCTGCGGTTTTTGCCTGCTCCTGCTCCAGTTCCAGCCTTAAAGCGGCCACGGCACAAAATCTAGTTTTCTGTTTTTATACTATCTTTTGGTATGCTAGTTGTTTCAGCCTCAAAAAAAAGGTGAGAACAGTTTAAATTACAGAGGAAGTGTCTGTTCGTTAAAGATTTCAGAAAACTTACTTGCAAAGCTATGGTGCCTTTTGGAGAGGAGAGGGTTGTCCTTAGATAAGGTTTTCTTTGAGAATTGTAGTCAATTCTGGTCATTCATATTTTCCTAGAAGATATTCCTTTTTCATTGAGATATTTAAAATTATTACCAGTAATTTGT